ATTTGGTTACGTGACCAGCTGATTGGCTGACATAAAATATACGAATTTAGACATTGCGACGCCAATACAGACAAATGCTTATATTTATATAGGGTGAGCCATTTTAATCGACAGATCCAAATTGCTCCTAAAATACGCCAGCTACAAAAAAATGGTTAAGACAAGAATTGTAGAGGACAACGGGGGTCATTTTACCGTGCTAATAATTTTGACCTTTAGATCGATTTTCAAGGTCATTCAAAGGTCAGTCATTTTTTAAAATTAGAACCCCTATTTTTGACACCGGATTCGAAAAGAGCAGAAAATTTTACGTTAAAAATGATTTTTTTTCTGAGTCCAAGAAGGTCAAATAAAAAATGATTAAAAACAACTTAGAAGCTGTTAATGTTAATTTTAAAGATTTTTATGCATGATAAGTGTTTCGCGGTACTAACAAATACTAATAGAAGAAAAGTTGCGAAAGTTGTCATTCCATTTCTGAAATTGATGCGCAATAATTTCACTTTGATATGATTATTAATAAGGCGTAATAAATAAAATTTTAAAAGTAAAAACAAACACTTGTGCCTTGAAGCAAACAGAGGCAACTTTGAACAGTTACTCCGTGGATAATTATGATAAATTGCAGTTATGGTGAGAAGCAAGGGGACTCACGATGATCAAGCACCCCAAAGGAAATAGAACTTACTACGTCCACGTCGTTGTTTCTGGCTAAAAGTATTGAATTAACATCTTCCAAGTTCTTGATTTGACCTTCTTGGACTCAGAAAAAAAATCTAAATATCATTTTTAACGTAAAATTTTCTGCTCTTTTCGAATCCGGTGTCAAAAATAGGGGTTCTTTTTTTAAAAAATGACTTTGACCTTCGAATGACCTTGAAAATCGATCTAAAGGTCAAAATTATTAGCACGGTAAAATGACCCCCGTTGTCCTCTACAATTCTTGTCTTAACCATTTTTTTGTAGCTGGCGTATTTTAGGAGCAATTTGGATCTGTCGATTAAAATGGCTCACCCTATATAAATATAAGCATTTGTCTGTATTGGCGTCGCAATGTCTAAATTCGTATATTTTATGTCAGCCAATCAGCTGGTCACGTAACCAAATTGGCGATTCTCTGTATTAGAGGTTCTGTAAGCAAAATTGTCACACCGACGACAACACACAGGGACTCGAGTCTTGACGGTGGATGTTAGCTATTTTCAGGCCTTACACGTTCAAAGGACGTCCTAAAAATATTCTGATAACGTCCCTCCTTAAAAGTGTCTTTAGAATGTATTTTGGAAAATTTGTGTTGTTTGGGGTGCACTAGTGTGCAATAGGTGCATTAGGTGTAAAATAGAGATGCTCGATTCTAATAGCGAATTCGGTTGCTTGCACTAGTGTGCACTGAGTGCGCACTAAGGCTTATTCATAGTATGTTATTATATTTAAAGATTGTCTTAAATAATTCTCAAATAAATTCTCAAATATTTTTAACCATAATATGATATGTATAACATCCGTACGAATCATTTTATTAGTTAAAATGTTTTTAAATATATATTTAAGACACGATCTTAAATATAAGAATGTACTGTAAACAAGCCTTAATGCGCACTAAGTGCGCACTAGTGCAAGCTACCGAATTCGCTATTAATCAATTCGATTCTTTCCCTAACAAATTTAGGAAAAAAGGATTGTTCGTGCTGCATGCATGTTCCATACTTTTCTCTTTTAAAAAGAGATAGACGCCTAATCAGACGCTTGGAAGAAACAATCGAGTTGGTTGTCTCGTTTTTGCTTCTTCGAAACATTCCAATATACTTCTGTCTAGTTTTAAATACGAAAAGTGCGAAGAATGCAAACAACATGAATAAGCCTATTTTTGGGGAAAGAATCGAATAGATTCAGAATCGGGCATCTCTAGTGTAAAAGTGTGAATAGTACAAGCAACTCGAACAAACCTTGGCTGCGTTCCAAAATTCTATTCTGTCTGTAGAGTACATTTAATTGACCGATTATGATAAAGAAATCCTAGTTATTTTTGTTCTTATTGGTCAATTAAATGCCACTTTACCTATCGAGTAGAGTTTTGAGTAATTATTTAGAAGACGGTACACACCTCCGATTACGATGAAAGTAGGCTCAGTCGACGCATTTTTGCATGCCAAACAACTTTTTCCTCTGACAAAATCGTCGCTCTCTACTGCGAAGTGAGATATTAATTGTTAAAGATGCTAGGTATGATAGGTTAGGAAACTTGTCATTTTAACGTAAAGTCTGTTCGTAGAGTTGTCTTTTCTGTGCAGAAAGTACTGCAATATCGAATAACGAGTGGGGGGCTGCGCCCTCCGCACTCCCCTAAAAACTAACCCAACCAAACCCATCAGTCATTGTTTATTAAAGTGTCCAACTTTTTTTCTTAATTTTTTAATAAACAATGACTGACGGCTAATGTGACGATAGGTTAGGTTAGGTTAGTTTTTAGGGGGTTGCAGGGAGCGCAGCCCCCCACTCGTCGTTCGATATTTTTTTCGTGTTACAAATGTTAAAAATACTGCACTAGTACAGAAAAGGCAACTCTACGAACAGACTTTACGTTGCAATGACAGGTTTCTTACCCTATTATAAAGTTTCGGTTTAACCGCCGGCATATTAAGACGTATTTGAACGTGTTTGAACGTGTTCAGACCGGTGATTTTTGGAAGTTGCCTTTGGAACCTACCAAGGCCCTACTCATTCATATCTATTTTCTTACATTTCCAAATTCGTCAAAGCGTGAGATATTCTATCTGAATTCATCTTTTGTTGTCTCTTACATATACGATGGAAGCATTTATCTGTGCAATGGCGTAGGGCCACTTAAAGTCAGAGTGCGCTCAGCCAATAATTGAAATCTGAAGTCTGAAGTTTTCTTACCCTATCATACCTAGCATCTTTAACAATTAATATCTCGCTTCGCAGTAGAGAGCGACGATTTTGTCAGAGGAAAAAGTTATTTGGCATGCAAAAACGCGTCTACTGAGCCTACTTTCATCGAAATCGGAGGTGAGGACCGTCTTCTAAATAATTACCGAGTTTTGGAACGCAGCCTATGAGCTGCGTTCCGAAATTCACTGCCAGTACTGAAATTCTATAGTATATGTGACATGAGCTATAGATTTTCAGTACTGGCAGTAAATTTCGGAACGCAGCTTGAATATCGGCCTAGGAAACATTTGACATCGATGACATCCGCATTCTATAGCAAATAGTGACAATACGCATAACGATAAAGGCGATGAATATAAACGTAGGAAATATACGATGTTGTGGAAGAGAAATATATCCAAGTTGAAATATAAATAAAATTATTCGAGTGTAGTCATCCAGTAATATTTCTTTTTAGTCAATACTTATTCGACAATTTGAACATAGACGTATGTATTAGTATATATATTTGGTTCGGTCATTCAGAATTTTAACTTTTGTAAATATTGCATCATATGTGAAATATTTTTCATTAAATTTATCATATGTTAAAAATTTTAGAATATTATGATACCTAGTCGAAGACGACAACAAGGCCTGCAGTACGGCATTTATTTGTTGTTTACACAGGCTATAAATATTGGCATTGATAAAATACCACCTGCTACTCTAATTGGAGTCATCCTACAGGTTAATCTTTCCACATAATTTATATTAATTAAAAATTTACAAAAAAAGAATGAAATGAGCAAAGTAATGAAACATTTCTTTCTGCACACACAAACATTATTCATATCAAATAATACTTTATTGTTTAATATTTAGTTTGTTTACATGTTTAGTAACAGAAGAATTGAATTGTTGTATGAACAACTGAATTATAATTTAGAACTTTATGAATGATAAATTGCATTTATTGAATACATTGTAGAATTATATTTACTGTCTATTTTATAGACTTTATTGTATGCTGGATTGATCCAAGTACCATGGAATGCAGAAGAAGTATGCATATCAGCTGTGAAAATATTTAAATACAAAAACTGGCGATCTTTTTTCTTTTCAAATTTTGAGCATGGATCTGACATGCATTTATATTATAACATGATTTCTTTTATTCTTAAAGGTTCCTATTTGGAACCTATCTATGGAACAATTAACTTTATATTTTTACTTTTTATTTTATCAACTGGATGTAGCATTATGTATGTATCTCTAGCATATATGTTGATGCAGTTAACAGGAGATTATGGATATTATACAACTTGTTCTATCGGCTTCTCAGCAACTTTATTTGCATTGAAAGTAGTTGCTCTGTGCGAAGAACGAGATAGATTACATAACATCAATGGATTTCAAGTACCGAATAAATTAGCTGTATGGGTTGAACTAATATTAATACATTTGTTAGTTCCAAATTCTTCTTTCATGGGTCATTTGGCAGGAATTTTAGTTGGATGCTTATATTCTTATACATTTGTCGGAGAAATGGTTGATAATATGATACATGCAATAACTGGCAAACCTATTATACATCAGGAACAATTTTACAGAAGACGAAATACACTATTCGCTTGATATATTCCACACTAAATCTTTATTAAAATTTGGTATATTATTTTCTTATCATGTACCAAATACTAACTTAATAACTTAATAGTTTAATAAAATTGTCTACATATTATATATTTTTATATTTATATTAAGTTGTCTATGTATAGTATGTAATGTACAAATATTTTAATGTTTTATATTGAGCAAATTAAAAAAACTCTTTGTTATGTAATTGTCGAATAAAATATAAATAAAAAAAATTATATATATATATATATATATATATATATATATAATCTACAAAAATATTATTTTTACTATTCTACACTGATACATATTAACTTTTTTTGTACACGGAATATATATAAAGTATGGAATACATGATAAAGTATAAAAAAAATTTCTTCATTGTTTCAACCTAATTTTAATTTGATGATACGCGTTACACAACAATCCGCGAATATTGTAAATATGTTTAAAATTTTCTGGTTGAACATTGTAAGCTGAGTCAACTGCTTTTGCCCAAATCTCAGTCTCCTTACTATTCTTATCTACAGGAAGTTCCACACTCCATAACGTCCAACTCCAATATTGACCTTCTTTCGCGTCAAGATCTTGCGCTGACAAATTTGCCGTATGCCAAGTCTCTCCTTTATCGTTTGTGACATCAACACGAATAATCTTCCGGCCACCACCAGACCATGCGTAACCTAGCGTGAAATTGTAGACTTAATTAAGACATATTTTCGGCTGCGTTCGCAAAAACCCTGATTATAAACAAAGTCATATTTTTAATCTTTGTGTAGTTCAAATATTAAATCCTATTAATTGCATGCAGTTTGATAACTTTTACTCTCACCTTTTACTTCTATTTTTCCATTTTTGACCTCAACTGTATCTGAATCGCGTGGACTGCAAATTGCCGATATCACAGGCATTTCTTGTATTGCGGGCGATTTAGAAAAATCTACATTGTCCCAATCTGTACTTGGCGAAAATCCTTTATAATCGCCCTGTTGCCATTGCGACGGACTCTCGTGCTTCGAAACTGTAATCTTATCTATTGAATATTTCAATCAATTAATTGAATATTTTAACATAAATCCATGTTTATCTGTTTTATGCAATAATATTAAGTAATGTCTCAAAATTGTTGCATACTAAGCCATTTCACATTTCTCGCGCCGACAACACCAGGAACGATTACTCTCACAGGAAATCCGTGATCTCTACTTATTGGTTGACCATTCATTTCATATGCTAAAATCACATCTCCTTTTGGGTCCATAGCTTTAGAAATAGGAATGCTCGCTCCATATGGTGTTCCAGATGGATCTAGATCATATCCTTCAAACTATTGATAGAATAAGAAATTAAAAATTATTCCATGTGTTAATGCAAATAGGAATAGATAAATCAGTGAGAAAAAACTTTCCAACTAATTTCTATTAAAAGAAAATAGACTAAACTAATTTTTATAAGTCATATAAAATGAAAAATTCCTGAGAAACTCTATATTTTATAGCAATACTATAAAAATTAGGAATAAAAATTTACCTGAATATGACTAAATGCATCTTCATTGACTCCTAGATCTTTCAATAAATCGCATAATCGTACACCAGTCCATTGAGCATTCCCAATAGCACCTGCATCCCAGCTCAGTCCTCTTAGTTTTTTTACCTGAAAGCATTTAACTACCACATTCCAAATAACAATTTCTCATCATTGTCAATATATAATATAGATTCACCTTTGCCATTTCTGAACGTCTGTTCCCTCCACACATTACAGCAACTGTTATCGTGTGTTTCTTATATTTTTTCAATGCATCAAAATTGAGTGTCTTTTTGGTCACCCCTTCTATTGTTAATTCTAATACATAGTCTTTCAGATCTATTTCAGGCACTGGCAAATGATTTCTAACATAAAATAAATCACTGCAAAAAGAGTCAATTTAGTGAGGAAATATATATGAAAGAAGAAACATTCAAATAATAAATATAATTACGTTGGTGTGATGAAACTTTCAACCAATATTGGAGATGGTGGTTCTGCACAAAAAGGTTTTTGATTGTTAACAATTAAGGTTTTATGCCTGAAAGGCTCATTTGCATATGCATCATGCAAATCACTCTTGTTAGACTTAGCATCCTCTTCCGAAATATTTCCTATTCTCATAGATTCTAATAATGAATATATCTCTGGTGTATTATGATTTGCAAAGATAGACCAGAAAGGCTCGATTGAGCCACCTGCAGCCATTAAAATTTTCGAAGAACCACCTGGATGCTTGTCTACAAATTCTGTTATGTCGTACACGCCTTCTCCAAAAGTAACCCAAATACGATTTTCTTTTTTATCATGTTTTCCTACTTCTTCCAAAGTATATGTCTTCATATCCTTTTGTAATTTACCACATTCTACATCCTCTGTTTTATCGAGAGCATAAATATTTTTTTTGTATCTACAAGTATAGTAAGATATGCCTAAAATTGATGCAGCAGCAGCAGCAACATATGTTGCATACAACTTAATAGAATCTTGCTTAATCCTAGAAGATTCATATTTTTTCTCTGTGAAGTATTGTCGACACACATTATTATAATCTTTCACAGCCACCTGTAGCAATGGTATCTGTGAACTGAAAAACAAATTTTAATTAATTATAGATAATTTCTAAAATTAAAAAATATCTGTTTACAGTAAAGTGGGAAGATATATATATATATATATATATATATATATATATATATATATATATATATATATATATATATATAT